GGGGCGGGCTGCCCTGACCGCCGCTGTGGGCGCCCAGATCCGCAGGTACAAGGCCAACAAAGACGTGATGGAGAAGGCGGCGGAGGTCTACGCCCGGCTCAAGTCGCGGGTCCTGGGCCCCAAGGTGGAGGCCGTCCAGAGGGCCGGCAAGGCGGCGGCCGAGAAGGACAAGGCCGAGGAGAAGCTGGCGGGCGAGGGCACGCCCAGGGAGAAGGCGGAGGATGGGCCGAGTGCCGGTAAGGGCGGCCGGCTCGCTGTGGGCGCAGGGGCGGTGGCTCTGCGGGATGACCAGGGAGGACCCGGTCTGCTCGTCCCCACGGTCCCGTGCAGGACGGCGCTGTCCCTGGGCGACCTGTGAGGGCGTTGGGCCCGTGTGCCTGGCAGATGTGGCTGCAGGGCCCACGCCCGGGTGATGGACGCGCACTCGGACACGCAGAGACACGGGCTGAGCACGTGACCAACCGACACGTGTGGTGTGGGTGGGGTTCGGGGTTCGGGCTCCAGGCTCGGGCCATGCGTGGGAGCACAGAAAGGGGTCTCGTCACGGGCTCCGCGTGGCCTTCAGAGGTGACCTGCAAGCCCACCTTCAAGACATGGCCCCAGGCTGACCACGTGCTTCCCGTCCAAGGGTTCCTAGGGTTCCCCGTCGCCCACGCCCACCCTAGGCCTCCCTGCTTCGGCTGGCATGGTCAGGGCCTCAGTGGCCTCAGGCCCGAGCCACACACAGCCAGCCCCCCTCAAGTGCTCGTGGGAAGCCAGGCCCAAGCCACCCCCAGGTGTTGGGGCGGGTGTGGACGTCGCAGACCTCAGGACCGGGACCCCAAAGCCCCTCACAGCGGATAGGAAGGTCCCGGGGTCCTGGACTGGAGTGCAGCCTTGTCCTGTGACCCTTCTGTCCCCCAGACCTGTCCACCCCTGTGAATGGCGATGCCACGTCCCAGAAAGGAGAGAGCGTGGACGACAAGGAGCACGAGGAAGGGCCGGACTCAGAGGAGGGGCCCCGGTGCGGCTCCTCCGAAGACCTGCACGACGCGTGAGTGTCCCCATGCGGGCTTCCTCGCAGGACCAGGCGCCGCACCCCTGCCTTCCAGCCAGCCCCAGGCAGGCCTGTGCCGGGCGCCCAGCCGTGACCGAGCTCACGCACAGTGCCGCCCCGGGTCTCACCGGCTGGCGCCGAGCGAGGGCAGGAGGGGCGCGGGACGCAGGCTCTGCCCGTGGGTCTCTGCAGCTCCTGCTATGCAGCACCGCGGCCCAGGGCGGGTGCGTGCTCACGCCCCCTGTGCTGTGCTCCCACCAGCAGCCCCCAGGAGGGCCCCGACCTGGACAGGCCTGGCAACGACCGGCAGGAGCGCGAGAGGGCACGGATGAACTCCGAGTCCCCGGACGACGAGAGCTGAGCCAGCCGGCCCGAGCCCAGGCGCCCCGGGTGGCAGAGCCCCGGGCCGCCGCCCTCCCCGGCCTCCCGGGAGAGCAGAGGACTTTCGGGGAGGCCCGTGCGTGTTTGTATCGTCCCTTCAGGTTTTTTCTGCCTAACTTCTGTGATTTCCAGCCGACATGAAATGACTATAAAGGGTTTTTTAATGAAAAAAGAAACGGCTTTTATTGGCCGGGTTTGCTTGGCGGCCTGCGTGGCGGGGCCAGGGCAGAGGGTGAAGCCATCGGGCCATCATGAGCGGCAGAGGTGACTTCCATCCCAGCGTGGCGGGGTGGGTGGGATGGGCCCTTTCTGAACGGAAGGAGGAGCATGGCCGGGCCAGGCAGGCGCGGAGCACCCACGCCGGGGCAGCAGGCGTCTGGGGTCAGGCCCGGAGGGCAGGGGCTGGGGCTCCCGGCTCCGCCGCCCCACGCGGCTGGGCCCCCAGGTAAGCCCCAGGGTCCTCTGTGCGAGGTCGGCCCCGGGCCAGGAGGGCGCCACGGGCACTGTCGTGACAGGGAGGGATTTGTGGGGTGCAGGCCGGTCCTCAGCTGGGTCACCAGCTCGCCGCGTAACCTCGGGCAAGTGGCCCCCCGCAGCCCGTCTGCACGGGGGTGGCCTGGTTTCAGACTGCCGTGAGGGTTCGCGGGGGGCAGCGCCCGGCCTGGCGTGGCAGGCGCCCGGGGTGGCCTCCAGACATCGCTGCCTGCATGGGAGCTCCATCCGTCCTGCCGAGGGGCCGGCTGCAGGGCCGTGGGAAGGGGCTTCCTGGGCCTCCCGGTTTCCGCAGGGGCCTGTCTTAGGCCGCACTGGATGGCCGGCGTGACAGGCTGAGGGAGGAGGGTTCCCTCCTGTCCCCTGCATGGCCTGTCACTGCAGCCCTCTCGGGTCCACCTCCCAGCCCTGTGCCGTGGGGCTCCGAGGACCTTGGGGCGAGGCAGCCCGGCCTCTGTGTCTCCCAGGAGCTCAAGGCCGGGTCGTTTCCGGAGGAGCAGGTGGTCGGGGCAGGTCGGGGGTCACTGGCTGGTCCATGGTGGTGGCTTCTGTGCAAGTGGGGGCCGTTGGCGTTTGGCTGCAGGTGGGGGAGGCCTGAAGGGGGCGCCTCGTGAGGCGCCCTGAGTGTTGTGGTGCGGCGAGGCTCGAGGTGGGCTGTCCCCACCGTGCAGCCCCCCCCTGCCAGTCCCTCTGTGCCCCTCCCGAGGACTGGGTGTGCAGCCCGGAGGGGGACCTTGGGAACGTGCTCAGCTGACCGCCACGCCAGCCTGGTCCTCAGCCTCGTGCTAAACCCAGACAGGAGAGCTCGCCCGACAGGCCCTGGCCGCGGCCTCTGTGGGCAAGGTCGACCTCCGTCAGCCTGTCCGTGCCTTCACCGGCCGCCTGGGCCTCAGACCTCGTGGCTCAGCCTTGCCTGGGGTCTCGGTGAGTGGCTGAGGCCGGAAGCAGCGTCACAGCCGCCCCGCCACGGCACAGCCCGCGGTGGTGGTGGTGGTGGCTCCTGTGGCTGTCTTCACGAAGCCCTCGGCCTCGCTGGGGTCTCGGGGTAGCAGCACAGCTCCAGCCGCAGTGGCATTCTAGGGTGTTCTGGTGCGTGGGGCTCACAGCACCCCAAGTGTCTGCAAGGAGCTGGGGGGACGCCTGCGGACGAGGTGGCGCTGTGGGAGCCGGGCTGGGGGGCTCTGGGCGGGGCGGGCAGGACCTGGCAGGCTCTTCTCCGCTTCTCCCTTCTGGGTCCGGCCGTCCAGCACGGCTCCTGGTCAGCCAGGGAGCACCGTAGGGAAGGGCAGGGCCAGCGGCCGGGGCTGGGTGGGGGCTGTGTCCTGGTGACCCTTCCACTCAACCTGCTTCAGCCTGCCCGGAACTGGTGCCGGGCTTGGGCCCCCAGGCCGGGCCAGGCCGCGGC